CCATCGCTAAAATGCATGATTTTTTTTTTCTAGTAGCGGATATATCCGTTGCTATATATCAGAGGTGGTTGCTTGTGGCAAATATATCTATTGCTATATGACGAACCAATGCATTTATAGTGGCGGATATATGAATTTATGACAATTAGATAACCTTTTAGCAATGGATATATATGCCGCAATATCAAATTTTCCATTGCTATTAATGACTTATAGTGGTGGCGCATGTATATGACGCTATAACCTATAGTGGCAATGCTTATAGTGGTGAAAATGGATTTGCCGCTAATCCACCGCTAAATATCTATAGTGGTGGTTTTGTTAATGTATAGGTCAATCAACTCGCACGGAAGCCTTGAAAGGCTTTACTTGTGAGGGCAACTCCATAGTCCGTTAGCTGCTAACTCCCATGGGAGCCGCGGAGGGCTCGACTTGTAGAGGTGACCTCACGATCAGGGATGATGAGGCTTGTTCGGGCTGGTCGTTCTAATTCTTCCCCTACGAGGGTTCCTTTGATCCCATGCTGTTGTTGCTAGTTGAGGATACCATTACTTGAGGCTCAGAGAATGGGTGAGAACTTATCTTTTGTGTAGCGTGTTCCCACAGGTGGTGCCAATTGATGATGCACGATTTGACACTCCTTGTTTGTAGATAGCTCGGACGTGGAACTAAGTAGGTCACCTAATTGAGCTGTAGAGAAAGAGATCAGAGTGTCCTAGTTCCTTTACCTGGGGTGGACACTCCGATGCTTAAGTTAGCGAAGAGTTTCTTAGAAAATGGGTGCGCCTTTATATAGGCGTCGGTTGGCGTAAGCTTCACAAACTACGTCTGAGATCCCAGGGAGGACATGACTTACCAGTCCGAAGTCCCCGAAGGTAGTTTCGCATGAGGACTAGGCTTTTGTTCCTTATCCGGTTGCCTCCGGAATGATCGGTGCAGGAGCTGACTTGCAGAGGACCCGAGAGTGATAAGATGCATGTAGAGGAGGTCGGTGAGCACGTCTCGTAGGTCGCCACCTGGACCTCAGTTAGGTCGTTAAATCCTTCGGGCGAGGTCACTCCTCTCGCTGAGGTCCCTTAGATCGATATTGACGATGCACCATAGGTCAGCCCTAGACGAGGTATTGCTAGCCGCTCTCCTAAGGTGCCCAAGTTGTATATGAGATGCTTAGACTGATTCCGGGGTGCGCCTCCTTGACTTAGTGGGATGTGCAGTTGTTCGTGTGGCACTAAGGTGTCATGCGATTGTCCTATTGTGCCACGTGTCACGATATCATCGGAGGGCCAAATCACCCTTCATCAATTACAATTTCTCCATCTCCCTCAACAATTTCAATGCTCTTAATGGATTGGGGCATCGACTTGGGAATGAGATTGTGGGAGTCATGGATCAAAGCCTTGAACATCTTGGTTGGGACAATGGAAGTAGTGAATTCTTGAGTGTAAGTAGTGTCGATGCCCATGTTTCTCTTGAGAGAAGGAGAGGAACTTGCTCAAATTAATTAATAACTAGCGGAGGGACCCCTGCTTCACAGGGGTTGGAATAGAATTTTAACATTGTTATTTGCTACATTAAAAAAGACAATGGTTTCTTAATAAGAAACTTGCAATTATAAGCACTCAAGTCTTGAAACTCATATAAAGACTTAAAAGAAATAATCATGTGCTTGTTTTTTAAATATTGCTTCAGAAAGCATGCCATCTAAAAGAACACAATCATACAGTGATAGTTCTGAATTCTACTTCATATCTGTTCTTTGTTTTACATCGAGAACTCGCAGTTAACCCGAACAGTAGGACCGTTCGGCCTGGGAACCGTCTAGGCAACTGGTTCTGTTTTACCCCAAACCCAGTCCTTGGCAAAAAATCATTGAATTGGTCAATGACCCATTGACCCGGGCGGTCAAACCGTCAACCCGTTCAACGATTTTTGGCCATTTTTTTATTTTTGTTGTCAAAATGGGCCATCTGTTCAAATCGAACGGTCGAACTGTCAACTTGGAACCGGTGGCCAGAATGGTTCCATTTTTGGGTTGTTGTTTTTTTCTAGATGTCAATAATTAGACGAAATAACTTTGTAGTCATAGTCATGGGAATGGTGGACATTGCAAGGAATTCCACAACCTTGAAAAATAAATCCAAAGTAACCTTAAACACACTCAAAAAAAATTGGTGGTAAATCCACCAAATTGGAAAAACCAAGGAAAAAAAATCAGAAAATCAAGTCCAAAGTTCCACTTTGAGACATAGCGAAACATACATGCAATCAAAGAAAGAGACAAAGCAGATCGTCTTGTAAGAAAATAAAAAAAACATTGCACAAGAAACCCAAAGAAAAAACAAAAGGAAATAAATAAAATGATGGTAAACCTTAGACCGTTTTGGAGGATCTTGAAAAAGGAAGATACCACACATGCTTGAATAAATCCCACATTAGAAGAAACCTTTGATTAGTAAAAATCCAAAAGCATAAAAAGCCATGTTTTTTGAACCACCATTGACTTGGACGGATGGACATTTCGGCCCGGGAACCGTCCAAACAACCGGCTCCATTTTATCCCAATCCCGGTCCCTAGCCGAAAACCGTTGAATCGGTCAATGATCCATTGACCCGAGTGGTCAAACCATTGACCGTTGACTTGTTTAATGGTTTTTGGTCGTTTTTATTTTTATTTTTTTTTTAATTTTTGTTGTTAAAACGAATGCTCATTCGAACTGTCGACCTGAAAATCAGTGGCCAAAATGGTTCCGTTTTCGGGTTGTATGAGTCACATGCTCGAATGACATAACACTTATGATACTGCTTAATGGACATTGCACTCAATTTTTTGCCTGTAAGTTTTGTTGTCAAAACGGATCGTTCGTTTAAACTGGATGGTCGAACCACTATTTTTTTTTTTAATTTTTTAGTTGGGAACCGTCCAAGCAATCGTCTCCGTTTTACCCCAACCTCGGTCCCTAGGCAAAAATCGTTGAATCGGTTAATGACCCATTGACCTGTTCAATGGTTTTGGCTGTTTTTTTTTTTTATTTTTTTTTTAATTTTTTGTTGTCAGAATTGGTCATTTGTTCGAACCGGATGGTTGAACCATCGACCCAAAGACCGGTGGCAAGAATGGTTTCTCGGGTCGTATAATCACACGCTTGAATGATATAACACATATGATATTGCTTAATGGACCTCATACACTCAATTTTTTGCCTGTAATTTTTGTTGTTAGAACAGGCCACCCATTCGAACCGGATGATCGAACTGTCAATCTAAAAACCGATTACCAAAACGGTTTCATAGTTTTTATTGCTTGAACGGGCCATCCATTCGAACCATCAACCCGAAAACCACTGCTAGATAAGATATATAAGATTCCTTATGTTATAATTTGAGAATTTTCAATAAAGAATCTTATATATATATATATATAATTACTAGGCAAAGGCAAAGTATACAAGCTATATAATTACTGGTGCGGATGACGATCAATTGAGGGAGGCAGGTATTTATAAACTTATTAGAAGCATCGTAGAGAGAGAGAGGTAGGTTATCTTGGGTGCAGAAATTGAAATCCATGCATTATTTCAATGTTAAGGGCGAAGCACCTCCATTATGGAATTGGAATGGGGTAGTCTCTCCATTTTGACCGTTACCATATTGATTTGAGAGAGATTAAAACTATGCTTGATTTAAACAAACTTGGACCTTTTCTCTTATAGATAGATTGAAAAAAAAAAAAAGAAAAACAAAAAACAAAATCGGGGTCTAACATTGTTGGCTTTTCAGCCCATTTAGGCCCCGCTAAAGACCTGGTGAGCTGGGTCATTTTTTCTAAAATTTGAAGTCGTCCTGTCCAGATCTACCATTTATTAATTTATTGAATTGTTAGGATGAACTTATTTAGCAGTTGAAGGCTGGCTGTCAGACATTAAAACTTTCGTCAAACTCTTATAGTAGTTAGCTAATCCTTTTTTTTTATACTTGAAATAAGGCTTAAAAGATAATGAAGACAATAATGGTGATATGAACCAGAACTGAAGGTGAGAATGACTGAAGCAAGTTCAAAAGTTCATCATAATAGTGAAAATGAAAATCGTTTTCCACGGTGATTTACCAAAGGGTCTCTTTAGTTTGTGGGAATAGGGGTGTGGAATTGGAATCAAAGTAGTTGTTTGGTTGGATGGAATGGAATTCCGATTTTCATTCCTAGTAAAATGGCATTTTTCCAATTGAGAAAATAGAAATTGGGCCCTACTTCGGAATGAGAAACTCATTTCAATGGGAAAAAAAAAAAGCTTATTTTCCTTAATCTGATGCCAATTCTCCTTGGGTTTGGGTTAGTAATTTGTTAAATTTTCAATGACCCAAAACCCAAATGCTATGCGGTTGAAATTTTTGAAACCATAATCGACCAACCCAACTTTACCCCTATTTGACTGAAAATGTTGAGGCTCAGTTTGAAAGGAGTATAATTACAAATTTGTAGAATACAAAATATTTGTATGTATTTATACTGTACATATTTATATTTGTATTCTTTTCAAATTGAGGTTAAGTGAAGAATCAGTTAAACAAAATAAAATGGTTATAACTTATAATAGTCCAAACACGTAGAGATTTCTAAAGACATGCTACTTTATGTCAATGTTTTAAAAAATGACTTAGAACCGGAACCGTTTTGGCCACTGGTTTTTGGGTTAATGGATTGATTGCTCGGTCTGAACGGACAACCTGTTTTGACAAAATAAATTAAATTTTTAAAAACAGTCAAAACCCGTTGAATGGATTGAACAAGTTGACGGCTCAATCGCCCGAATCAATGAATCATTGACTGATTCAACAATTTTTGGCAAAAATCGGGTTTAAGGTAAAACAGAACTGGTTGCCTGAATGATTCCTAAGTCAAATGGTCCGACCATCCGGGCCAACAACGATTCGAAAACCATGGCTAGCTTTATATTGGGATAAGGCACATTATTATATTGTAGAGAAATTTCACAATGAAGAAATGTAACAAAATTATTAATTCTTTATTAATCACCCCACCATTAATACCAAGAAGGCAAGAATTTACCACATGTATCCAATCGTATGTATTACAAATCAAACATTTCAAGCACGCTCCCAACGGTGTGAAATGCCACAACATGGGGTAGGCTTATGTAATATGACACTTAAGACTCAGGATCATATAAATACTACAGAAAAGCAAGTAGAACAGAGAATTAATCACACTGCAAGACTCATATAATAAGAGGAAGACAAACTATATATAACATCTCAACAAATTAATTAGATCTAGAGACCCGGCCTCAACTCAAGGCTCAAGCATAGACATGAGGGTTTTCCGTGAGGTAGGCCTCTACAACCTTGTACATCCCCATAGCTTTCTCTTTGCCTTGTTTGATTTCTTCTTCCTTGAGCTCGACACCTTCTGCAGTGTGATACTCGCTTCTCATCTTGCACACAGCTCCTCCATCACCACATGCCTCAAACTTAACTTCGTATACAATCCATTTAAGTTTGTCACCCAACACATCACCTTCAATCAATGTGTACTTGCAGAAATAGTTTTCTTTGTCCAGAGAATCAATCCGGTGCTTCAAGAATTTGAAATGACCACCTGCTTATCAACAATGTTTTCCTTAATTAGTTTGGTTTCTTTTCTACCACATCTATAATGTCAAATTATTTTAATTTACTGCCAAGTAGGATCAGATTTGATCCAATCCGATCCAGTCCAATATGAATACTCCAGTTACAAATGGGGCCAGGTCCAATCCAACCCAATGAATAAGTAAACTATTTTGGATCGGTGAAATTCAATGTTTGAACCATCCAATCTGTTCAGATTAGTTTTAACCTAATTAGATTAATTCCAATCCAAACCTGGTCCATTGACAGCCATGTTCCTATCTATCAATGCATATAAATAAATCTATTACAGATGGACCAGATCCAATCCAATCCAATCCAATAAATATTTTAGATCAGTATATCTGGACTGGTCCAATTCAATATGTCTTTTTGGTTTATTGATTTTGATTTGGATGAGAGTTCAATCAAAACCGATCCATTGACACCCCTACTATCAAGTTAAAGTTAATAAAAGTATAGTTACCTTCAGGGAAGTTGGTTTGCTTGATGCTTCCAGCCCCACCATCTCCTTGAATAATTTCAATGCTCTTTATGGACTGAGGCATGAGCTTGGGAATTAGGTTGTGTGAATCAAGGATCAAAGCTTTGAACATCTTAGATGGAGCAATGGAGGTTGTGAACTCCTGAGTGTAAGTGGTGACACCCATGTTTGCCTGCACAAAATAAATTAAAAGAGACGAGCTTAAGGAGGAAACAATGAAAATTTGGGTTGGATAGTAAAGTACACAAGGTGAGTATTTGGATTGTGGAGATGAAGAGCTTGTGGGATAGTATTTATAGATGGGGATAGGTTGTGTGAATCTGAGTTGCGTACTTAGCACTCACTTGACTTTTCTCTCTCTCTCTCTACTAACCATTTTAAATGATAACGAGTTGGCTTTAATAATTGTGGGTCCTTGTTTGATTTTCTAAAACTTAGACTTTGAGGGGGAATAATCGAGAGTTTACATTGGTAGGCTTAGCTATTAGGCAGGCTACCTGCAGGTAGCCCAACCCAGCTGAGGACCTCAAGAACTAAGCATCTCGGGCATAAAACTGGAATTCACCTCCTTATTGTCTTGTTCTCATGTTCTGAATCCTTATAGTAATAATTAAGTAATATGGGTATAACCAGATCAAAGTTGATAAAGCCCATGAACATGTTATAATAATAAGGATCGTTTTCCTAACTGTAATGGCACCCTAATCACCTTTTCTGTTGAATTAATGCAATGGTAAGATAAGAAATATTTATTGTGTGTCGGCAATGTTCCCATTTTTCCTCTGGAGTCAAGCAATTCTCCTTTTTAACCCGTTAATTTTCTCAACCCAAGGTTTAAAATATCAATATGCTCAATATGTCGTATCGGCAAATCGATTCAGTTTTTTAGTGTTTTTTTTTCTATTTTTTTGTTTGCAACTGGTTCAAGGGAATTGGTTTAAGCCTCTTCTACATCCTAAATCGGTCAGACTCTCAATACATCCACCGTAGAGGTGTATCAGAGGGGTTCCAAAACGATACGTATCAACCGATATAGATTGATACATGTTGATACTTTGAACCTTAACCCAATCTAATCATTAATTAACGGATTGGCTTGTATTCATTTAATCACTACAAGAAAAACAGTCTAGGAAAACCACCATATCAGAAGTAAGGTGGCGGTCATTAGTTCGCCCCCTAAACCACTGACAGCCTAGATCAAGACCACCGGTTTAGATAGACAAGATCGCCGCCTTTGGGTCATTGGCAGGTTGGAGTAAGGATAACCCAATAAAAGAAAATTTAATGATTTTGATGGATTGGGTCATGGTTATCGACTGGGTGACCCTTTATTTCATTGTCTCTCCCATGAATAACCATTGCCAAAGGTCTGCTTGCTGCAGAAAATTAATGTCTTTCAATTAAGCACTGTCACTCTGTTGTCAATTCCAATAAGCTTCAAAGATGAAAGCTAAGCTATCGTCTGTGGAACGCCTGGTTTGATCTCTCGAATGCAGTTAGATTACGATCTTCAGCATCCCAAGTGAAGGTCAAGAAAGACCTGGTGAAGCTTTATTAAAATCTTAACCGATTTGCTAATTCCGTCAGTTCTCACTGATTCATATCCACCACTTCCTTCTACAAAACAGGCTTGATCTGGCATGCATGATTTCAATAAATATGATCTCGCTGTGAATTGCCTTAAGAAGGCCATCGATCTAGTATCTAAGATCGAGGTAAATGAAATTTTTTACAGTGCAGAACGGAATTTTCTCTTAGATCTAAACAAAGTGAAATCACGCTTGGAATCAGAAGTCCCAGATCAAAACCTCTTGTTGAATGGGTGGACGGCCTATGCATTTCTTTTCTTTTTTCTTTTTGTAATTTATGTTATTTTTTCATTTTCTGTGTTTTTTATAACTCTCATATTTTTCTGCAATTTCTCTTTTTTCATCTTCCATGTTTTTTATTAGCTTTTTCACAGTTTTTTGTGATTTTTTTTTCTGTAATTTCTGCTATTTATCTTCATTTACTGTTTTATTATAATTTCTGTAATATTTTTCTGCAATTTCTATTTTCTCAATACTTTAATACTTTTTTTGTAATTTTTATGTTATATTTTTCTATAATTTGTGTTAGCTTTTTGCATTTTCTGTGTCTTTTATAATTTCTGTTTTTCTGTAATCACTTTTTTTTTGTATTTTTATGTTATTATATAATTTCTGTATTTTTTGTTTTAATGAATTAAAAATTTAATGGGTTGGACGGGTTAGGTTGGGTCAAGATGAGTTTGGGTTGGAACCGATCCATTTACTTCAAACTTGGTTTTTGGCCAAAAACTGTTGAATCAATCAATGATCCATTGATTCGGGCGATTGAGCCGTTAACTTATTCAATCTACTCAGCGGGTTTTGACTGTTTTAAAATTATAATTATTTTTTAATTTATTTCTTTTAGAGCAGACTGTCCATTCAAACCAAACGATTGATCCGTCGACCCAAAAAACTAGTGACCAAGACGATTCTGATTCTGGATCATTTTTTATAACATTTATATAAAATACCATATTTTTAGAAATCTTTACGTGTTTGGACTATTATAACCATCTTGTCTTGTTTAATTCGTTCTTCACTTAACCTATTCAGTCAAATAGGGGTAAAGTTGGGTTTGGGTTATTGAAAATTTAATAAATTACTAACCCAAACCCAAACTAAATCTGCACCCCTAAAGAACAGGTAATTTATGTTGGATGGCATACATAGACGAGTCAAGACCTAAGATCGAATCCCACTACCACTAAGGTTGGGGGTTAAGGGGAGGGGGATGGACAACCCCAATTGTATCCCCATGAAGATAATTTATATAGCTTTATTTCTATCTCAATTTCTATAAAGCCTATGTCCACATATCCACTTGTCCAATGGTCTCTCCTTATATTCATCATGTATTTACTGATTGCTTTCACTTGTCATCAATGTCTGCTAATGGGCCAAATTTGAGTTTGAAATCTGTTTTTTCTGTGTTCTAAACAACCCTTTCTTTTTGAGCTACTTTCATATTGAAAATTCAAGTCTGTATTGTAATGCTCAATATTACTAGGGTAAAATGCTAAAATAAGGTTATAGGTTCAACCGAGGATTGTTATCTGCCACATCATTCCTCCAAGTGGCAGAAATAGGAACATACGATAGGCCCTACAGTGAAGCTCTCTGTTTGACCCAATTACCCAAACTTTTTCTAATCATATGGCATTAGTGTAAGTCACAAAAATTAAATTTCATTAATTAAAATTTTACCCTTTACTTGTAACACTAATATTATAATGTTCAACTAATCTCAAGGATGAGGAGCTTACATATATTACAAAAATCTTTCTTTGTTATGTATGTTGATTTGATGGCACTGTGACTTTGATTTACAGTCAGATTAGATTGGCATTCCCTGGAATCAGAATCTAAATCACCTAATCCCTCTGTCTGTTTGGTCTGGACAAGAATTGGATTTGGAGAGTTGGCATCCGATTAAGTAAAATAAGCTTTAGAGGGTTTTTAAGCCATTTGGCCTTTATTTTTTCCCGTTAAAATGAGATTCTCATTCCGAAGGCCCTAATTGTTATTTTCTCAATTGGAAAAATGCCATTCTACTAGGAATGGAAATCGGAATTCCATTCCATCCAACCAAACAGCTGCCTTGATTCTATTTCCACACCCCTATTTCCACAAACTAAAGAGACCCTTTAGTTAAATCACCGTGGAAAACGATTTTCATTTTCACTATTATGATAAACTTTTGAACTTGCTTCAGTCATTCTCACCTTCAGTTCTGGTTCATATCACCATTATTGTCTTCATTATCTTCTAAGTCTTATTTCAACTATAAAAAAAGAATTGGCTAACGACTATAAGAGTTTGACGAAAGTTTTAATGTCTGACTGCCAGCCTTCAACTGGTAAATAAGTTCATCCCAACAATTCAATAAATTAATAAATGGTGTATCATGTCAGTTTAGATATGGACAGGACGACTTCAAATTTTAGAAAATAAAAAAAAAGAATTATGCTTTATGACCCAGCTCACTAGGTCTTTAGAGGGGCCTAAATGGGCTGAAAAATCAACAATGTTAGACCCCGATTTTGTTTTTTTTGTTTTTTCCTTTCTATCGAAAAGGTCCAAGTTTGTTTAAATCAAGCAGGTTCAACGACTTTAATCTCTCTCGATTCTCAAATCAATATGGTAACGGTCAAAATGGGGAGACTACCTCATTCCAATTCCATAATGGAGGTGCTCTGCCCTTAACGTTGAATTAATGCATGGATTTCAATTTCTGCAACCAAGATAGCCTACCTCTCTCTCTTAATTGATTTGTAGGATGCCTCTAATAAGTCTATAAATACCTTCCTCTCTCAATTGATCGTCATCTGCACTTTGCCTTTTCCTAGAGATTGTTAATTAATTTGAGCCGGTTCCTCTCCTTCTCTCAAGACAAACATGGGTGTCACTACTTATACTCAAGAATTCACTACTTCCATTGCCCCAGCTAGGATGTTCAAGGCTTTGATCCTTGATTCCCACAATCTCATTCCCAAGCTGATGCCCCAGTCCATTAAGAGCATTGAAATTGTTGAGGGAGATGGAGATATTGGAAGCATCAAACAGACCAACTTCCATGAAGGTTAGTCTTCTTACTCGTGTAAAACTTAGGGTTCGTTTGCTGGTTTGTAATCGGAATTGGAACCGGAATACTTTGGAATTGGAATTGAGATCGATGCTTTGGAATCGGAAACGGAATGATCTATTTCCATAGTCTATTTGGTTCAGATAGAAATGGGAATGGAAATTGGAAACAATAGGAATGAGATTTCATTCCCAAGAAAGGGCCAGGGAGTGGCCATTCCAAAAAGAATGGGAATGTGAACCCTATTCCCATGAATCAAACAGGGCCTTAATTACTAATACTATTTAGTGTTTATAGCCCAACTTTTAGCTACGGACATTATATTTATGCCTGTAGCTAAAGTACAATAGTTACAGCCCCATTTTCCTGTAGTGGTAGTAATTAAGATATTGGACTATTAATACTGTTTGCTAAAAAAGAACTTGATTATTACTAAACATAATAAAGAGTTTGTTTACGCATTCATACATCTCAAAGAACCATTCAACCTAAAAGCTTAAGCTGTTAAATGAGGTCTTAAATAGGTTTTATTCTCTAACAATATGCATGCAGGTAGCCATTTCAAATTCTTGAAGCACCGGATTGATGGTCTCGACATGGAGAATTTGGTGTGCAAGTATACATTGATTGAAGGTGATGTACTGGGCGACAAACTCAAATCCATCATATATGAGGTGAAGTTGGAGGCATCTGGCAATGGAGGATCCGTCTGCAAGATGACAAGCGAGTATCACACCGCCGACGGCATTGACCTCAAAGAAGAAGAAATCAAGGCAGGCAAAGACAAAGCTATTGGCATGTACAAAGTTGTTGAAGCCCACCTCTTGGAAAATCCTGAACTCTATGCTTGAATCATTCTCTCTCTCTCTCTGTTGAGAAGATGATAGTGGTCTTAATTTCTTTCTCCTTATATATACTACAGTTTGTATGGTCGACTGGTCATCTATCTTTGTTTTCTTTACATTTATGTGGTATGCCAACGAGTTCTTCAGTGTTATATTATTGTGGTAACAATAAAGTTATTGGAATTGAGAGTGATATTGGTATTATGTGAACTTAGAGTCCTTATTATACTTGAAGGGCATGTTTATTTTTTCGATTTTGAGAGGGAGAACTATTCAAAAATCCCATTGATCAGGAAATTTATGTTCTTTTTTTTTTCAGATTTAAATGGGGATTAAATATCATATCACTTATCCCGCTTAAATAATACATATCTCCTGAGTGGATAAATAACTTTTTCACATGAGAAAAAACTTATCGATAATTGAATAAGACAAAAATACCCCTTTCAAATTATTACTTTTTGTGAGATTCATCAGATCAGATATGGCCGGGGTTTATATTATGAGATTCATCAGATCAATGAACAGAACCAAATTCGATCCTATCCATTGCATCCCTAACAAAAATATTGAACTTGATCTTTCATCAATCATTTTATGTGGAACCACCCAGGCAATATGGAATAGTCATTGCCCATTGCAGAAATCTGTTGCAGGGCTTTACCAAGTTCTCACTAAGTCAATTATGTGCCGTGTTTGCACATTTGTTGGCTAAGTCGTTTGGATCTGTTAAACAAAAAACTGTAAGAAGGTCTGATCAATCTCCTCCCTTGACTGGCAATATCATTTGCAGGGAGATATCTATAGAGAGTTAAGTGAAATATGACTTGAATTAGCTTTTGTACTTAAGAAAAATCGTGACATTTATTAAACATTTCATTTAAAAAAATAGATAAATATAATTTAAGAAATTGACAAGAAGTATGTAGAGGGAATCATTGTTCAGCCCAGCTTTGAAACTCAATTTCTAAATTAAAATTTGATTACTGGGACGTCAGATATTAGTTATGTTATGGTAATTTATCAATAAGTGCTTAATTTGCAGATGATAGCTTTCTAAATTGAACAAAATATACCATTGATTGTAAACAATACATAAATTGACATGATTCCTTAGCACAATTAATTTGCAGATGATAGTTAAAGATTCCTTTTTCAATATCTTTGTGATAAATTCTGCTTTATATTATTAAATTTTCTGAGCACAATTATACGTTATTCTAATAAGGTTTTAAATTCCTTAAAAATTAATGAAGGGATACAATCATGATTTTCAAAACCGGACCGGACTGGATGGTCGGACTGGAAAAACCGGGAACCGGTCAGGTGACCTGTTCCGTTTTTTCTCAAAATTGGATTTTTCCCAAAAACCGTTGATTTGGTCAGAAAACCACTGACCCGGGCGGTTAACCGTTTGAATGGTTTTGACTGTTTTTTAATTTTTTAATTTTTTTTGTCAGAACGAGAACCGAACGTTTAGACCATTCAACCCGAAAACCGGACCTTGATTGATTCGTTCTCTGGGTCAGTTTTAAAAACCTTGGATACAACTATTATTTCATGGATTCGATCAAAATTCATGAAATGCTTTGATTGATCAGAACTCTTCCGATCATAAAACTTAACCAATCAACCACGTTTTTGACTTGAATTTTAACTACCAATATACAAGGTGTAGGTCTTCTCTCCGGCTTTATTAAATGTTTGTATAACTTTTCTGGTCTGACTTAGAAGTAGCTAAAAGCTATAAAAGGCACTTTTCAATGTCAACTTCCGAGGTCTTGATGAGTTTATTAAATCTAATTTTAGGGGTAGTGGGGATGATCTTGCTTAAAGTTTCAAATAACTTTTTTAAACTTTCAAGGGCTCTAGAATTTCAAATTTTGGACTAGAAAGGTGGGTGTGAATTATTCAACAAAAAAAAAAAAACTGAGTCATGATTCATGTAATTATGTAGATCATGTTCTTATACATTGACACTAGGAACTGCTTTTGTGGACTAAAGGTTTGACTTAGACTATTCAGCTCAATCACCACCCCACCATAGCTATATCCAAAATGAGTAGGCAACGGCTTCTTATCCAATTTTCATATTTATGAGAATAATTAAAAGATATGGTGGTATTGTCAATGAAAAAACATCATAAACATTTATATTGGGGTTGTTTTGTAATTATTAATTTCTAGTAGATCTTCTACAGGACAGCAGACACTCAGACAATGAGATGTATTGAGCTTTTGGGGTATTGTTTTAAAGACCAAGACTGTTTGGTTCACGTTGTGATTTATTGGGCTGTTAATTAAAAAACAGCTAAATCAGTAGGGAAAGATCAAAATTTTTATTTGAAGCGTTCGATTTGTGGCCTTTTCAGTCTTTTATGCACTAGTAGATGTGCGGGATACCACTTTAATATGGCCCCCACTGTAAAGCTGGGGCCCCATGTATTTAAGTGGAACTTTATCATTGATTCCATAGCCTGTTGAACAGCTAAAACGTTCAGCTAAACCTTACACAGCTCAAAGAAACATCACAATCCATAATGTTATTGGGGAAGTTTTCAGAGCTGGTTTTTTATGTAAGAAAAGTTGGAGAAATTTCAGAGCTGGTGGTTAAAAAAAATATATCAAGTATGGAGGAATTCCCAATATATTAAGATCTATTTTAAGCAATTGAGGAATACTTTTTGATTGACCCAATTATATTTTTTGTAGGCTCGTCTGAATAATAAATCCATTTAATTTGAATTATATTCTCTATGTATAATAACTAAATAGAACAAAGAGGGGTTATAAGGAACCATTTTCTGTCGGCCTTATTTTTCTATCGGATTATGTAGGGCCTATTTAGTTAAGCGGAAAGAGAGAGATATCTTCTTTGTGAATGTGAAAGTTAGACTCGGTACTAAATCCTTATCTACAAAATAAAAAATAATAATAAGAGGCAGTAAAGTTAAGAACCGGTACCAGCTTGACACCGACCGCCGAGCTGTGAGTCGCGAGAACTGACTTTTGATTTTCAATGAGATATTCACACTCTGTCACAATCTTTGAAGCATACAATCTCTGCAATTTTTTTCTTGGCCTGTAGGGCCGGCCAGGTATTGTCTACGTCACTTGTGTAGGAATTGATGGCGGAATTTTGGAATTCAATGCGATGCCTTCTAAATTTAAGTGTGGCCACGAGCCGACCTATTCACGAGTTATTCCAGCTCAGTTCATGAAAAGTATGGTCCGGTTTGATTTCAATCGAGCTTTGAGTCGAGCTTGAATCCAATTTATTGGTTCATTTAATAATCGAGTTAAGCTCAAGCCTAATATATCTCGACTCGTGAGGCTCGCAAGTTGAGTTCAAATAGCTACATATAATAATAAAATTATTATTATATATACAATATTTTTATTTTTATATATAATAATAAGTAACTATTATAATTCTTAATTTTTTAAATATAAAATATAAAATATTTTTATATATATGTTTTTTTATTTTTATAAAACATTTTTTCTCAAGTCGAGCTTGAGTTCAAGGTTCTAACTCGAACCGAGCTCAAGCCTTGTACTACCTTGGTGAGCCGAGTTCGAACCTCGAACTATTTGGCTTGGCTCGAATCCACCCCTGGGTAGCAGTTGAGCTCGAGCACAATAAAGCTTGATTTATAAGGCCCACGACTTAATCGAGCACAATAAAGCTCGATTTATAATAACTCTTAATTTTTTATTTTTATAAAATATTTGTCTTATAATTAAGTTCAAGTCGAACCAAGCTCAAGCTTTTAACTCTAACCAAATTCAAACTCAAATCTCTAGCTCGAATTGAACTCAAGCCTCATACTTTAAAATTGCTAAATATTCGGCTTGATTTAACTCAAATTTAGTCCTAATTTTCTGTTATATTTTTACATTTTAGCTTTATCCATTTAGGTAGTAAGCTGGTGAATCAAGTAATTGATCTATATTCAAGCGCCAATATAATAGATCTCACGGAAAGATTATTTTGCAGACAATAACCAATACTCAGCTAAAAATATTAAAATCTCTCATCTTATCTTTACAAACGTGAACCAACACTAACACCACAATTTGCCCGGATAAACGAATAATGCCTTTATGTTACTGGATCTGCTATAAATAACTCAATAAGACATTTAAAAAAAAAAAAAATATCAATCAGAAAGGAAAAGCGGCCACTGAGGCGATTCTTGGAACGTGATATATTCCTCTCTTTTATGGTCAAAGTTTGCGTTCTCTCTTCACCAGATTAAAAAGGGACCAGCCCCCGGTCGATTTGTATAATCCTTCTAACTTTGAATCTGTTGACTCAGCTTCACACCAACTTAATTATATTGATCTTGCCCTCTTTCTCAATCTATAAATACCAAACCCTTTGTTTGGGCATTTGCAGCACTCACTCTAGTTAGGATTCCCCGTACCGTCTTAGGCCAACCCACTGAGTTTCCTCTACTCACTCTCTCCCCCCTCCAGACTCGAATCATGGGCGTCATCCATTACAGTCACGAGATCTCTTGCCCGATTCATCCAGCGAGGATGTTCAAGGCCTTGATCCTTGATTCCCACAACTTGATTCCCAAGCTCATGCCTCAATCAGTAAAGAGCATAGAGATCGTTGAAGGAGATGGAGAGGCTGGAAGCATCAAAAAGATCAGCTTCACTGAAAGTACGCTATTTGTCTTTAATTGTTATTGGCAAGTCTTTTTTGCATTAAGATCTTGATAGCCTTAAGACCGTTTGGTTAAGGTGTATTTTCTGTGCGAAGACGAGTTGAAAAAAATCAAAAAGCTTCATTTAGAACTTTCTGAAAATTGTTTAAAACGGGCTTTGCATATCTTTTTGGCACGATGTTTTTTGACAATCTCAACCAAACAGGAAAAAACAAAAACGCGGGCTGTCAGACTTTTGAAAAACCAATAGCCTGCATGAAAAGACATGCCAAACGGATAATAATTGCTTCGGCAATCTGAATAAGCTTTACGAATTTTTATAGATCCGGTTTCTCAAATGTATTTACACCCATTCCGGCCGGCCCCTATAAACACCATCCCCCGTGAATTAGGAATCTTTCCCTCCTACTCAATCTCTTCGATCGCATTAGGAATTGTGGAAGAGATCGACTGAACTCAAATTACCCCTAAACTTAATTTAAAGAATGGTTTTATGATTTGATCTTAATGAATGTTGTTTTTACACAGGCAGCCATTTCAAGTACATGAAGCACAGGATTGATGCAGTTGACAAGGAGAACTACGTGTGCAAGTATACTTTGATTGAAGGTGATGTATTGGGAGACAAGCTCCAGTCAATTGCCTACGAGGTTAAGTTCGAAGGATCTGCCGATGGGGGATGTGTGTGCAAGATGACGAGCGAATACCACACCGTGGGTGACTTTGAGATCAAGGAAGAGGATATCAAGGCCGGAAAAGAGAAAGCCATGGCAATGCACAAGGTGGTGGAAGCCCATCTCCTGGAGAACCCCCATCTCTATGCTTAATATTCTTATTGCTTCACTCTGCTCCATGTGGGAGATGAGACAGCACTGTGTGGGTGGATGCTTGCTTTCTTTTCATGATTGATTTTTCTTTTGGAAGTTTGGCTTGAAGAATAAGAAATCCATGTCCATCATCAGTTGGATATTGTTTGAATAATATTTGATTAATACAAATACATTTTGTGGGTTTTGGAATTCATCATCAGTCCATGAATATAATCCACTATTTCTATCGTTCATTTATCGTATCTCGTGGGGGATAAGTTGTTTATTATTCATTTCTATTAAGGCCTCGTTCTTGCCCATAAATTATTTGCCTAAGTAAAAACATTATCTACATATACATATTTCTTTTTCTTATATACATTTAGGCTGTATTTAATTTGAAGAAAAAAGTAGGAAAAGGAAGAAAAAAGCAGAGCAACAAACCTTCTATAGGTTTTTCTGCCTTTCTCTACTTTTTTCTTCAAATCAAACATATTCTCAACTCTTGATGAGGTGGTGGTAAGAAGGAGGAATCCAGAAAATATGCCATTTCATATGGCCAGCTACGAGTCCAAATCCTAGGACAGCTTTGATTGATGCTTATGCTTGTTTTGTTTTGTTTTTTTTTTTTTTTTTTTTTTTTTTTTTTTTTTTTTTCTTTTTGCTTTCTGTGATTGGAAAAAGATCTAAAGGTGATTTTTGTATTTCTTTCATTAATGGCTTTAAGCGAGCCACCTGCGCCTTTTGAATATTTTGTAAGATCCTTATACTTACCTTTGTCTCTTCATCCCCTTTAACAAACTATAGATTTTATTCGTCAAATCTACTAAATGGATTTAATTAACGCTCTCTCTCACACACACATATCATTTAATTAATTACCAATAATGGAGCAAAAAGAAATTTTCTCATGAAGCCACAATTTTACAACCTGCAACTTGCCAGGACAAGGGAAAAACACTTAGGCCCGTTCATTTTTTTTTCGATAAATTATTTATTCAGGTAAATGCTCTTATTCGATTTAGGTAAGTATATTTATTCATGCTCTTTAATTTTTTATGTAAATAAGATAATGATCATTTTAACCTTAAAAGTCAATTATTAAAAGGGGCATTTTTGTCCCATTCAACTGTTGACAATTTTTTACCTACCTGGGAAATGGGCATCCGAGAAAGTAAATTTTTCCTTATCCCCACATAAATCTGAAAAATGAACATGAATTTCTTGATTAATGCCTAATGAGAACTAAAATCTTATCGAACAACTTTCCTCCCTCTCAAAATCCAAAAAAAAAAAAAGAAAATGAATACCTCCTTAATATAATATTAATGGATCATCAGAAGCATTCTTGGATTACTGATAGGAATGATCATGGTTTGGGCTGCCCGGATTTTGACAAATGTATTAAAAATATGTGTCTGGGCCTTGGATTTGTTTGGCCCGGCCCAAGCTTGCATTATGTACAGGCTTGGTGTGAGTCCGGGTGGAGCCAGGTCAATGATCGTCCTTAATTATTACTTACATAACTTAGAGGTTACCCAATATAGCTAGGCCCTAGCCAGTAGTCATAATTTGCACTATTCATTAGAACCCTATTGCCGGTGGTATTTGGGTTTCATGAGGTTTTCCCTTTGTTACCTGGGGTATTAGGGTCTTGGGTATTGCTGTCATTAATGGAGAGATGTACCTAATGCGTGGTTGTAGGGTCTTGTGCCCAACGTTTTGTGGTTAGTAAATTTAAACTGAGGGCTGGTTAGTTGGTGTGTTAATTGGTTTGTTTCAGCGTTGATGTAAAATCAAATCCTGTAATCAGCACTTTAGAGAAAAAGGGGTTAGGCGAAAGTATAAAAAAAAAAAAAAAAAGGGAAAAGCACGAACAGGTCTAATGCAGATTTCTGAATTTCATTGTAGATCTATAAACAATCAAAATGTCAAATATCCCCATTCTATGCATCAATGGCCGCCTTAACATCAATTCCGAGCTGGCACCTACCCAATTATACTTCAGGCCTAAAAATTCTGACCCTGGGCTGAACTGTCACTCTCCAAAAAAAATCTAGGATTGCTCACAAATCTATAACCAATCCATGAGCATATTTTTGAAATAGAACCAGTCCCTTTGGCTTCTATATTGTCTCAAACCAAATCAATTAGTTAACTAGTTGATCAATTTGGTTTTTCGAGTTTTTATATTTATAAATAAATAAATAAATATATATATATATTAATGGTTAGACTAATTATACATATCAAAGGATCAAAGGGCCTATGGCCAACACTCTTGAGCGCTCTTCTACGCGTTCCTCTCTATCCCACTATGACACTATCTACTGCTTTTTTCTTTGTTTTTGGGACTATCTACTGCTTTTGGTGTCACCGTCGAAACTTCTAAAAAAGATAAACCGTGTCCAGTTCTGGGGATTAGTCGGAATTGTCAAAAAGAGAAGAACCCTATTTTATAGTTTTTGAGTGCGTTGAGTTTGACTGGATGGCTTACCCACCTTTACTCTCAATCCATATAATTGAGAACTAGTCTCTCTTCAACTAATACTAATCAAAAGCTTCGCGAATCGTTTCTTTTTCTTCGTCTTCTTCTTCTTCTTCACAGGCTTGAACCGTTTGCTGAGGAAAAATGGGAGTAATTCGTATCAACCAGACGTTTGCGACGCGGGTGAGTCCATCTAGGTTGTTCAAGGCCTTGATCCTTGACTCGCACAACCTCTGCCCCAAGCTCATGTTTGCATCCATTAGGAACATCGAATTTCTGGAGGGAGATGGAGATGTTGGAAGCATCAAACAGATCAACTTTACTGAAGGTTAGCCTCTGATCTCATGCATATCTGATAACACACTCTGAAATCTGAAAGATCTAGATGTTAATTCTTGTTTGGTTATAACTTTTTTCAGCTAGTCCCTACCGATATGTTAAGCACCGAATCGACGAGCTGGACAAAGAGAATTTCACCTGTAAGTACACTTTGATCGAAGGCGATGCATTGGCAGAGAAGCTGGAATCAATTACTTACGAGGTTAAGTTCGAAGCTAATGCCTGGGGAGGATGCATCTGTAAGATGTCGAGCGAATACAGAACAATTGGGGATGTCGAGGTCAAAGAAGAAGAAATTGAAGACGGAAAGGACAGAGCCATTGGGATGTATGAGGTTGTCGAAGCCTACCTCTTGGCTCATCCTAATGCCTATAAATAGTTAATTAATTAGTCTTGTCTACTCGAATCCATCTTTTTGTTTTGTTCAATTCTCCCATTACAGATCTACATGTGTTGTGTATATCGGTTATCGATCTGGCTGGATAATATATAAATATTTGTTTCTGCATTTGTTAACTATGTTGAATTAATCTGTGATTTTTGGCGAATATATATGTTGAATTGGACGACAGAGCAAGTGATTGTATCCATTTGGGTGCCAATTTTTTATCCCTGTATTCAGAAGCAAGGGAGATCAGAGCTGCAAATTTGGCCAGTTCAGCCCGAACCAACCTAAAACTTAACAAGGCTGTGTTTGAGTGTGGTATAAATATTGGACCGAAGGAGTTCTTCTGCACTCGTTGGTTTAATAGTGGCAATTATCGATGTAAATATTTAATTACATCGTTTTTATGAGAGAAATTTCTCTTGATTATCGATGTAAATCTCGACCTGGAAGGAATTTTACATCAATTTTCGGTGATAATTTACCTTTCATCCAAGTGGTATAAAACCAGACCAGAGGAGTTTTACACTGTAAACAAACACAGTTAAGTGATTGATTTTAGCTTGTCGATTCGGTGCTTCAAGTACTTAAAAACTACTACCTGCATATGAATTGAATCAAATATATGTATGTTAGTTTATGTGACGACTTTGTTTACAAGTGTTAATTTTGTACGTGAATATATATATATATATATATAAATTCGGTGCTTTTTATTGACTGAGGCATGAGCTTGGGGATCAAGTTGTCTGAGTCAAGAATCAAAGCTTTGAACATTTTAGCTGGGGCCATGGTTTCGTGAATTCCTGGGCATAACTGGTGAAACCCATGTTTTCTTGGAGCAATGAAATGCAAGGGAGAAAATGAAGAACAAAGAAATTGATGATCAATTAGCTATGTAATAGAGGCCTTGGGTAGATTAAATCTTTAATTATGTATGTGTTTGGTTTTATTTATGTTTTTTATTTAATGTTTATATTTTATTTGCTTATAAAATCAAGAAAGGTAATAATTATAACCGTTTATGATAATTAGGCACCACTAGACACTAATGAAAATCCAAATCCATTTTTGCCATTCTCAATGTGTACAGAAGAGCAAAAAAAAGAAACTGCTTAAGTAACACATATATAATTGTGTTTATTAAATAAACACCCATAAAACTAAACACGCTATATATATAAATATATAGATAAATAGAGAAAAAACAAAAGAAAAGTAACCTAAAATTCTTTGTTCAATTCTAACTTTCACATCTTCACCGACCAGTGGACCATGCGTGTTAGTAACGAACAAAATGAGCTTATATTTTAGACGGTTGACTGGTATGTGCTTGCTTTTAAACAGATAATGATATAAGTCTTTCCTGGCTTATTGATCGTATATATATACCTAAACCAATCAAAAGTTGTTCTATTTAATCACATTTATAATTGATTTTTAGAATATTTGTTAATATATTTATAATTTTTTATATTTAAATATACTTAATATTAATTTATTTATAATCGGTTCAAATTGATTACACCCGTCGCACATTGGGGTGTTTTTTTCAATGGGAGCAGATCCAAACTCTTAGACTCCACAGGGATTTTTTTTTGCATCTCAGCCCGTCCCAACAAAAAAATGGGTAGGGCACAAAATTCATACAAATTTTAATCAAAATGCAGTCACTCACTAATTGGCACAGCTCCTAGTACTAGATCGATGGTGTTCGACAATTGGCTCAGGAGGATAAATACTAATTGTCAATTAATAATTTTAGGCCATGTTTCTGAGTGCTTAAAAATAAGTGTTTTGTTTGGGCGAGGATCACATTATGAAACATTTATTGGTGTTTGGGAAATAAGTCCGAAATAAGTGTTTATATTAAAAATAAGGACTTATTTTTTAATCCAAAATTTCTAGCTTTTTTTAAGTGTTTATACAATAAGCACTTATTCAAATTTTTACTCCCAAAATTATTCATAGTAAATTTTTAGAATACTAATTATATCGTTTTACAAAAGCAATTTTACAAAGGCACTTTTATAAAAGTAATTTTATGAAAAGTATTTTTACGAAAGCATTTTTAGGAAAATACTTTTACGAAAGTACTTTTATAAAAGTACTTTTACATGAAAGTAGTTTTATAAAAGTACTTTTATGAAATTACTTTTACGAAAGTACAAAAGTACTTTTACACAAGCATTTTTATAAAAATACTCTATGAAAGTACTTTTACAAAAAAACACTTTTATGAAAGTACTTTTACGAAAGTACTTCTATAAGAGCACTTTTATGAAAGTATTTTTACAAAAACACTTTTATGAAAGCACTTTTACAATAGTACTTTTACGAAAACATTTGTATAAAAGCACTTTTACGAAAACACTATAAAAGCACTTTTATAAAAGTAATTTTATGAAAGTACGTTTATCAAAGTACTTTTATGAAACCACTTCTATCAAAGTACTTTTATTCATTCACTTTGGATTAGATGCTTTGAAATTTTGAAAAAAAATGAAGGGCGAAAGAGTCACAATTTATTATTTAAGTGCTTATTGGAGAAAAAGACCACCAAATGCCCAAGATGAAATAAGTACTTATTTTTAAAATAAGCACTTAAAAAAGCTGAGTGCCAAATGCAAATAAGTGCTTATTCCAATAAACTTGTTTTTAAGCACTTATTTTTAACATAAGCACATGGCCTTAGTCAAACTAATCCTAGTTTTTGGAGTTATCCCGGATCACAAACCAATTAACGGATTCAAGGGTTGATTGGAGCTTGCTAATCTCCATTCAATTGAAATAAACTTCATTGCATTTCAATTTGACTCCTTCATATAGTCAGTTGGTTGACTGCCATGGTGAATGTGAAAAATGAGACATTCAACTCTTCTCCCATCCATCGAGCTTTTGCCAATTCAGTGTTGAAATAAAACTGATTAAGGTGATGTTTGGCATCGATGCTGATTATTCCTTACCTATTTTTCAAAAGTCAGTGTTTTTTGAAATTAGTATTTTTCTAAAATTTCTAAAATTTCTAAAATTTCTAAAATTTTGTTATTTGATATCATTTCTGTTATGTGAGCCGATTTTTTTACTCTGTTTGGCACTGATTCTCAAAGGCGGGTTATTTTTGTATTAGAGTTATTATTTAATGCCATATCATCCTCAACAAATCAGAATCAACTAAAAATTAGGAAATTACCAAAAATTGGTGATCCCTGAGAAGGCTGATTTCAAGAATCAATTTTTTGTCTATTTTTTAAAAATCACTAAAATTGGCCAATCAAACAGAAATATCAACACCGATTCCTCTAATACTAATGTGGCTCCAACATGGCAGTGGTTTTCAAGAAATCATCATGAATGCCAAACATCACCTAAATATATTAGAACTTAGATAAGGTGTCGGAGATGGAATTTGCACTACAAAAATTCTAGTATCCAGCATGACATCAACCTATAATATCTCCAAATTTTTCATCTCTTTGTTGACAGTTACAAGTAACTCTAGTGTGAACCGATGTTTTTTTAGTAGTCAAGCAAAAAAAAAAAAAAAGTATTAGAAGAAAAAGGAATAAATGGGTTTTGCTGCCCAAGCAGGTCCTAGACCCAAAGAAACAAAATAAAAGGAGGCCAAGGCCCAGCCCACATAAGGGAAGACAAAGCCCACAAAAGCAAGCCCAAAAATAATAACGATCGAGATATCCACCAGCCCAAAACCCAACCAAAAGCAGATAGGTGGATTTTGACGGGTTTTAAATGGGTGGCTGGGTAGGTTAGGCTACCCCACAGTTTGTTTAGCTCTTTCTACCTTTCTTTTAATTTCCAACAAAAGAATTCCAGTAGCCCTTTACTTATTGGCAAATCATCTGAGCTTTGTGTTATGAGACCTGGGCCAATTCAAAGTTCAGACAATTGGGTTGGCTAGAGGACTAGGTGGTTGGACCATTAAACCTGTCAAAAAGATTTATGGATTGGTTGCAAAAGGTATTTGTTTGAACTCAAATAATGATCTGATCTGAGAACAAGTTCAGAAATAGTAGCTGAGGTATTTCATTTGCACTAATGTTTATTGCCATCTAAATATATCCAATTCGATCCGTCTGCAGCTCCATCGCCATCTGGTCTATGTTATGGGAAAATTATGATACCGGAAAGATATGGTGAAGGTAGAATTTTAACCAAACATCTCCATGAATGATTTTTTATGAATATCACCTCATTGGTCTCCTTTTTTATGATACCAGATGGTTTTCTGTAATTTTGGGAAAATTTGGGATTGATAAACAGTTTCAAGCTCATTCATTGTTGTCAGACTGAATTTTATGTCTTAGGCCTCGCTTGGTTCGTGGGAATAGGGTCTGGAATCAGAATTGGAATGGGCTATTTCGATTCCAACTGTTTGGTTGGGTAGAATTGGAATCCCATTTCCATTCCTGTTGGAATGGTATTCCTCCATTTGAGGGAATGGCCATTCCCTGTTCCTCCCTTGAGAATAAAATCCTATTTCCTGCCGACTCCAATTCCCATTTCCATTTTCCTGTCTGAACCAAAAAGACTATGGGAATAGATCATTCCGATTCCCATTACAAACCAAACGGACCCTTAATTTATAAGTCATCAATTACCACTGATAGAGTGATTGAGAAATTGACCTATACAAACATTACAAAATTTTCACAAGCAAATTAAGCTCAATAGAATTTCTAAGTCATCAATTACCACTAATAGTGTCAGAGACTTCTTATTACCAGACCACAAGAATTGAAGGAAAACACGAGGAAAATTAATTAGCTAGAACCAGTAAAACGTATGATATAGAAACTTAGAAAGAGTAAAACTAATGCTTATAACATGCATGACAAATTGACGCATCGAAGTCTAGGCATAGACATGAGGGTTCTCCAAGAGATAGGCTTCCACAACCTTGTACATTCCCATTGCTCGCTCTTTTCCGGTCTTGATTTCTTCTTCTCTGACCTCCACATCACCGGAGGTGGTGTGATACTCGCTTGTCATCTTACAGACGCATCCGCCGTTGGCAGCGGCCTCGAACTTAACCTCGTAAGCAATTGATTCCAGCTTATCACCCAATACATCACCCTCCACCAATGTGTACTTGCACACCAAGTTGTCCTTGTCCAAGGCGTCAATTCGGTGCTTCAAATATTTGAAATGACCACCTGCGCCCATTGATTGTATACAGATAACTACTGAGTATCCGAATCTAACCAGACAAATTAAGCTTATTATTATTGACAAAACATCTGTATATATATGTCATATGTGACGACGAGACGATCGACGACTAACCTTCAGGGAAGTTAATCTGGTTGATGCTGCCTGCTCCTCCGTCTCCTTGGATTATTTCAACGCTCTTGATTGACTGTGGCATGAGCTTGGGGATCAGGTTGTGAGAGTCAAGGATCAAGGCCTTGAACATCCTAGCCGGAGCGACGGGGCATGCGAACTCCTGCGTGAAACTGGTGACACCCATCTTCTTCTTCTAAACTGATCAGGAAATGAACAAAGGAGAAGAGGGGATTAATAATTTTCACAAAGGCTTACTGAAGAGTGAAGAGTTGATTGTTGCTGGAGATGGAAACAGAAGCCCATTACTGCAGGGTATTTATAGATCGAGATTCATGAGGAGCCTTCGTTGTGAAAGGTGATAAAATTCAAAGTCCGATATTATAGACTATTGTAAATACATACAGCAATTAATAATAAGCCACTTTCTTTGAATGATCATTAGCTAATAGCTCTTGCTTTGAAGGAAGAATTTTCGTGGGACCGTAAAAATCTTCTATCTGGTAGTTTCGGACAGACACAAATTAAATAATTGTTCATGAAAAAATTAAGGGATATATACTTAAATTTGGCTAGCCAAGGTTGTGAATTATACATTAACACTAATTCAACCCAGCCCCCCGCTTCTGTCTCTTTGCTGGCCGACGTTCAAAGCCTTGATCCTTGATTCACACAAGCTCATCTCAGTCGATATGTATAGAATGTTGACATAATTGAAGGAGACGAAGGGTCTGGAAGTAGGGGTGTGTCAGTGAGTCCATTAAAAATGGACCAGGTCTAATCCAATTCAATGAATATTATGGACTAATTCAATGCTTGGACGTCTAAACTGTTGAAATTTGTTTTGATTTAGATAATACTAACCCAAACCTGGATCATTGACACCTATACACTTATGTTCTATCTATGGACCAAGTATTGGCTCCATCCAACCCAATTCAGTATAAATGCATTACAGATGGACCAGGTTCAGTCCAGTCCAATCCAATCCAATAAATACTTTGAACCAATATTAAATCTGGACAGGTCTAATTCAATATGTCTTGTAGTCCGTCCAATCCATCCAAATTGATTTTTATTTGAATGGGTTCAATCCAAAACTGGTCCATTGACACTCCTAACTGGAAATATAAAGAGTATCAACTTTAACCTGGGCCAGATGCATAAATCTATACTACTAATAAAAGAGCGAATAGCCCCATTTTTTGGACTTTTCATTAAATATTTTTTTAGCCCTTATCTAAACAATATACAACGGGCATAAAAAATGGCATATATGTCATTTACTCTCACTCCAAAAACTGTCCACTTATAACAGTTAAGGAACTGTCCAGTTGTAATTGTTCACTTGTAACAGTTAAGAAACTGTCCACTTATAATTGTTCAAAAAATATCCATGAATTATAAATAGTTTTGTCTTGGAGATGCACGTACATGTTTACTAGTTAAACTTATTGATGAAACACTATTTGTTTAATGATGTAAATTGGAGTCATGCATAGACGAGAGTAGTTAATTGACATAAATGAATTGAACGTTTTCATTTTGTCTGTCACGTAAATAGTCATTCCAAATACGTGAAAACATCAAATAGATGCACACAAAGGAGGCTCACACTTGGTAGGAATTGAAGGTGATGTAGTGTGGGACGAGCTTGATTAATCCAATTACTTACGAGGTGAAGTTTTTGAATTTGAGGTGTCCGAGAAGTCTGCAGACGAAGGATGCATTTGTAGAAAGCAAAGTAGAAAAAATTTGGGGAAGTAGTTTGTGTTCACTTTTCTTCTGTTTTAGGCCAAGTATGGATCTCCGGTCCAGATTCAGAGATGTGCAGGCCATGCCTAAGCCCATTATTGTAGGCCTGACCAAAAATATATGGGCCAGGTTTGCTGGGCTTTTGGATCTACAATCTTTCATGTATTTTTTTTTTTTTTTTTATAATATATTCGTATAGGGTAGCTGTTATACATATATACAAGTAAATGGTAAACTAAGTTGATATTATATAATCAAATTTTTTTTATCCCCGAAGTTTACTCCGGGTGGAGGGACAGCCACCTAAGAATTTTATTGATCAGCCATTACCAAAAGGAAATTGAATTACAGGGGAGGACGTAACCCGCCTTGCCCCAAAAGCCCAAACAAAGAAAAGCATTTCCTTCCATACTCAACCCTGCCCAAGAGCATTAAAAAAATAAAGCAAAGAAAAATACACAAAACAGATAAAGCAATAACCAAAGGACGGGGAGCTGCATACAGTCTTCCTTCATGAAGTTCAAGAGATCCCGAGGAAGAAGATCCTGAGAAGAGTGAAACACATATCTACTTCTTTTCATAATTCCCATATTAGCAAGGAAGTCTGCACATCTGTTCCCTTCCCTAAGTGTACGAGAAAATTTGATTCTCATAGAGTTAAACAGGCTTCTAATCTCTCTTAAGAAGTAGATAATGCTCCAAGGCGCTAAGGAATTACCAAGAAGAATATTTACCAAACCTTGATTATCACAATCCACTAACACATCCTTTTATACCATTTTCATAACAAAGCTTAAGCTCTTCATGGACAGCCATAGAAATTGTAGAAAGCAAAGTAGAAAATACCATTACAATCTCTAACAATCCCTCCGCCAACGTTGTCTCCTAGGTTGCTGCGGCATATTCCGTCAACGTTAATTTTAAACTGAAATTGAAAAGGAAAGCGCCAATAGACCTAACGAATTCTCTTTCTTTTGATTGGCAAAATAGGAATATTCAAAACCTGTAAAATTAGAGGATTGCTATTTGGATATGAAGACTTACCATTAGCCAGATTAATTTCCCACAACCACCTCTCAATTTTCTTTATAAGAGTCAAAGTAGAGACACCCTTTCCTTCTAACCTTCGAGAGCATCGTTCTTTCTAAATCACCCACAATAATATAGAGGGGGTGATTGTAATAAGCTGATGAGATTGAGAGTTTAATGTAACATCACTCCACCAAAGATTATCTCTATCTATTACATGTTGTGCTGAAATGAGGGGAATATTAAAGAAATTGATTACTAAAGTGAGACCAAATCGATCTTTTTAGCAACTGCTCCATTGACAAAAACATGGCTTAAACTTTCTATACAAAGCTGACCACAACAGTTACACTTTGAAGCCAAATGGACACCACCCTTCCTAATGACCATGTCAAGAGGCAAAGCGCCATGTAAATGTTTCCACATAAACACAGCTGCTCCTCACACAGGGCGCCTCACACGCACATTCCACCATGTATTGAGAACATTTCTCATAAATAATAACATATAAATATGAGAGATATTCCCAATGCACAATAGAATGTGCATGTGTGAAGAGGTCTTAGATTTTAGTGGGAAGGCCAACTTTCCACGTAATCAAATTATATATATAATCCATATTTCAATATTTACTACTGTAGAGGAGTTGGAAAGGCTGGTAATGTTTGTTGAGGTTTCTTTTGCTGGGAACGTGCCATTGCTCAAAAACATTATTTGGGCTAAAATAATTTTAAGCCAACAAGCCCAAACCGTGAAGCTTATACAAATGCAATTTTGACATTTATTGGAAAGCCATATTTGGAAGGAAATCAGATTTGATACAAAATTGTGCTTACACCATTCTCACAATGTTAAAAGAAAAAAAGCCATTAAGCACTGTTCTCAGCTCTTTTCAGTTGTACATTGGGAATATCTCCTTGGTGTCAGTACTGAATTTGCCCTGGAAGTACTTCTGTTCTTCAATGGGTTTTGTGTTCTTCATGCAAAAGTTAGTAAAAAATTTGTTTGGCAAAAAAACAGCTTAAAATAGGCTTTTTAGGAAAAAGCAGGAAAAAAACATTATTTTGCTTTTTTACCGTCTTAAGAAGCTTTTTTGAACAAAACAGCCGGTGAGCAGGTAAACACTAAAAAAAATCATGGTTTTCAAAACTGGACGGCCAGTCCAGAAAAATCAGGAACTGATCAGGTGACCGATTCCGTTTTTCCCCAAAACCAGATATTTGCAAAAAAACATTGATTTTATCAGCAAACCACTGACCTAGGCAGTTGAGCCATTCGAACCATTCAATAATTTTGACTGTTTTTTAATTTTTAATTTTTTTGTCAGAATGACCTGACCGTTGGACCTGGTAACCAGACCCCTAACCGGTTCGTTCTCCGAATCGGTTTTAAAAACCTTGAAAAAAATGACTTTTCAAAAAGTGAATTTTTCGAAAGCCCAGCACTCCCATGTCCCAAATGCAGCCTGAGGTTCACAGTGCAGTTCAATTCCCTCAATGACAGAGCACCTGAATGATTCACATGGTCCATCACATCCACCCGAGACATGAGATGATTGAAATCCTTAATTCGTAATTGCATCATTGTTGGCAATGCACGCCATTAATTCATCAAGATTAACATAGTTTGAATGTGATTTATAAATGAGAATGAAAGAAGGAATTAAATAGCAAACCATCTGTAAATTGGAAATGTTTGATTGTGCCAACGTCGCCATTTCTATAACCCATCACTTTGTTGGGAAGAAACTAAGTTTATCCACAAACTATTTCTCTCCCAAAAATAAAAACTTGTAGATATTCAGCTATCACAATTCCAAACAAGATATCAACAAAAACAATCATAAGCCAAGCAAAGAGAGACACACACGATATTTAACGTAGAAAACCCCTCCAATGTGAAGGGTAAAAAACCACGGGGCCAA